TGTTCTTCAGCCCAGGCTGGCTTTTGTGAGAACAGCCGTCAGTAGTACCCAAGCTCAGGAGGGTGTTCTCATTTCAGGGAAGGATGTGACAACTGCCCTGAAGGCCCCCTTTATCAGCTTGTTGGAAGTGATTTCCCAACCCAGCTTGGCACACAGAGCCACGGCAAACTCCCCTTATCACAGCTCCCCCATGAGACCACCACGTCCTTCCACTCTTCCTAGATTTCTTGTCACCTGCAGATAGTCCAAGAGCAAGAAGTAGTCTTTTCCTTTTTACAATTATTCAGAAACAATGTTTACCCTTAGGTGGATTATACAGCAAGTCTGTATCTGTGTGTGTGTTTGTGTATCTGTGTGTGTATGTGTGTGTGCACGCGCGCACGTGTGCATGCACACACACACACACGGGCTCAGTCGTTTCAGTCCTGTCTGGCTCTTTGTGACCCCATGAACTATATAGCCTGTCAGGCTTCACTGTCCATGGGATTCTCCAGGTAAGAATACTGGAGTGGGTTGCCATGCCCTCCTCCAGGGGATCTTCCGTACCCAGGGATCGAACCTGCATCTCTTGCACTGCAAGCGATTCTTTACCCACTGAGCTACCTGGGAAGCCCATGTCTATGAAAGGAGATCCTAATTCTTGACAGGTATTCTGCAATATATTTGCTATTTTACTTTTCATTTCCCCCCGCACCTAATGTGCCTGGTTTGTTTGGGAAAAGAGCAGAAAAGTCATCTTTGGCTACCGTGTCGATTTCTATAACATTCTTTGGTCTATTTGAGTTCTGTTACTTCTTTTTAAAATCATATTGGCATTTTACCTATTTGTCAATTTCAAGTAGGTTTTCAAATTCATTAGCGTAGAAGGTTTCATTTTGTAATTTTCAACATTTTATATCTTTTTATCCAAATTGTCTCTTATAGATGACATATTGCAGGATATTTATAAAGGCCCCATCTGAGAATTTCTGTTTTCTGATGAAAGCATTTAGCCATTTATATTTATTCTATATTAGGACTTAGTTGACCACCTTATTTTATATTTTCCATTTTTATTTCTTCTTATCTTCATTTTGTATCTAATATTCTTAGAACAACCTTTTATAGTATCTGGACTCTATTGCCTTCATATTATTAATGAAGACATTGGAGTTGGAATTTAGAAAGATTAGGTGACTTGCCCTGGATCACAGAGCTAACAAATGACAGAGCTGGGGCTCAAACACAGGCCAGTCTGACCCCATAGCCCTCCCTACACGTCCTGACCTATATGTGTCACTGTGGGGCAGGTAAGTGGACAAAGTGTCCTGGGTTCCTCTTCTACATAAGGATTACCTTTTAAGATGTTCGCTTCACTTCTGTGTGTGTATGCTCAGTTGTGACCAACTCTTTGCGACCCCATGAACTAAAGCCCACCAGGCTCCTCTGTTCATGGAATTTTCCAGGCAAGGGTAATGGAGTAGGTTGCCATTCCCCACTCCAGGGTATCTTCCCAATCCAGGGATTGAACCTGAGTCTCTGGTGTCTCCTGAACTGTCAGGAGGAATCATTGCTTGGCATGTAGGAGGCAATTTCCTTTCTCCACACACCTGAAAATAACAAAAGAACATTAGCTCTGTTCAAAAGCAACAACTTTATTTTCATATTGATTTTGACTTTTCAGAAGTGCCTGGAAGTGTCCGTCTCTCCCCTGCCCTGTTATTTTTTTCTTCTTCCTTGTCTGTGTCCCTTCCACTTTGTATTTATTCTCTCTCTTTCTCTCTCCTGCTCTCTCTATGTATCATTTATCTCTTTAATAGCAGTACACTGGGCTGGTGATGGTATCCTAAATCCTAGATGTTAATTCCATTCTCTCCATTTCTGTGGGGTGTTGGGTAGGTTCAGAAGTGTGTTTCGATATGAGAGCTTCTCACTAGAACCCTGTCACTCTGGAACTCTGAGTATGACGAAGTCTAGCTTTACGCAGACAGACCCTATCACTGGTGTTGCTCTTCCAAGGAACTTCATTGAATTAGAAACATAAATTCAGACCAGCATCTGGATTCTTCAGAGAAAAACAATAAGAAAATAAGTGATGTGTAACAAAGCAAAATAAATACTCCAAATTGGCCTGATTAAAAACCAACAAGAAGCCTGTTTTATATAAATATATATATAAAATAAGACAATTCCAAGATTTAGTTTCTTCTGAGATAATTATTTTGTTCTTCCCTGGGGCAGATTTTATGTCCCAAGAAAAGATTTACAACTCAAATAAGCAGCAGGAACAAATTAACTGCCAACAGCTTCCTCTCAGTGACGCTGTTGATAGCCACGGTAAAATGATTATAAATCTATTAGAAAGAAACATCGCTGATGAGTTGTTTTAAAGGTTTGAGATATGAGATTCTTATTAATCCATGAAAATGTTTAAATGAGCCATTTCATACTATAAAATGCCCTTTGACTCAAGTGCCTAAAAAACATCCTAACACACAATGGTTCTGTTTTCAACTATACTTCTCTTTCCCTTGAGAATAATTAAAGCCTGCATAGGAATTGGAAAAGATTAAAATTGATGAATTAAATCATTTTGTGTTTTTACAAATAGAAAGAAAAAAAAAAGAGAATCTCCATCGATGATGAGAATGGAAACAATTTTATCTGGAGGCTAGATTGAGCTCCTTTCACCTTCTTTGTAAATAACCTTCATTCTGGCTGCAACCCTTTCCTTAATGAATGTTAGTCTGTTGGGTAAACTGAATGGTACTATAATATCTATGGAGGAAAGGATGTGATGATATCCATTATCACTGGTTTATATACACCATTTTCTTCCTCCACCCAGTGAAACTTGGTGAGGAAGTTGGATTAGCAACCTTTGTAATTGTGTCAAGTTTAAACAACTTGTATATCTCTATCACTCGGCACTGTGTTAATCTATGACTTTTTCTAGCCACTTTAGTGGTCATTTGGATCCCCACATTCTCAACCATGAACTGTCTCTATGTTGTCTTTTGATTCGATCTAAACTACAAGAGGCAATTGGAATTCTGTAGTAGGCCATACATTCTCGGTATTTTTTATTACTCTTTTAGAGCTTTGTTGTTGTTCAGTCACTAAGTTGTGTCTGACTCTCTGTGACTTCATGGACTGCAGCATGCCAGGCTTCTCTGTCCTCTGCTATCTCTCAGAGTTTGCTCCAATTCATGTCTGTTGTGTCAGCGAGGCTATGTAATCATCTTATCCTCTGCCATCACCTTCTCCTTTTGCCTTCAGTCTTTCCCTGCATCAGGGTCTTTTCCAGTAAGTAGACTCTCAACATCAGGTGGCCAAAGTATTAGATCTTTAGTGTCAGTCATGAATATTCAGGGTTGATTTCCTTTAGAATTGATCAGTTTGATCTCCTTGCTGTCCAAGGAACTCTAAAGAGTCTTCTCCACACTAGAGTTTGAAAGCATCAATTCTTTGGTGCGTGGCCCTCTTTATAGTCCAACTCTCAGAGCTACCATCCCTCTCTCTCTCTCTCTCTTTCTCTGTCTCTCTCATTCTCTCATTTTTCTGCTGCCTTTCTCAAAAGCCTGTACTAGTTGAGGCCTCTTCATCAGACTTCCTTCAAAACTAAGAACTTTCGATTTTGCAAATGTGGTTTCCATCTTGTGCCTTGTTCACTCAAGATTATGTTCTTGGTTATTTCCAGTGATTGTTACTCTGTTCACCCTAGTTGATGCCACCTTAAATGGCAACGAAACAACTTCAAATTCACTTACTTCTTGAGGCTCACTGTTTTCTCCTTTATGGAATGGCAAGGCACAATCATAGATTAAAATCACAATCCTTAGGACTTCCTTGGCGGTCCAATGCTTAATAATCTTCCTGCCAATGTAGGGAACACAGGTTTGATCCCTGGCCTGAGAACTGATTCCACATTCCTTGGAGCAGCTAAGCCCATCCGCCACAACTACTGAGCCCACATTTTAGAGCCCAAGAGCCGCAACTAGAGAGTAGACCCTGCTCACCACCGCAAGGGAAATTCTGCCAGCAGCATTGATGAGCCCGTGTGCCACAACCAAGACTCAGCATAGCCATAAGTAAATAAATAAATGAAATAAAAATGAAATTGCAATCCCTTTACTGCAGTTTTGGAGGTGATGCCAAGATGTAGATTTACGCTATCTCAAGCTTTTTGCAGCCCAGGAGTTCCTCTAGTTTTTGTTTACAAAACATTTCCTCCTGTGAAGATTTCTGGTGTTTGTTTTTAAATCCATACGTCTTCTTAAGTTTATTCTTCTTTATCTTTCTACTTGAAAGTAAAGTCCATATTCCTTATGGAAATCACAGCTCAAAATATAAACAATGTAGTATTTTATATGATTTAGAAGTTTAGCAATTAGTATCTTTTATATAAGAATTCCCAGGTGGTGCTAGTGGTAAAGAACCCTTCTGTCAATGCAGGAGACATAAGACGTGCAGGTTCCATTCCAGGGTCAGAAGATCCCCTGAAGAAGGACACGGTGACCCACTCCAATATTGTTGCCTAGAGATTCCCATGGACAGAGGAGCCTGCCTGGCTACAGTCCATAGGGTCACAAAGAGTAGGACATGACTGAAGTGACAGCATGCGTGCATCTTTTGTATAAGAAATAGTATGTAATTTTCTGATTATAAATGCTTGTTGGGGTACTTTTCTCCTATTATTTTATTTAAATATTAATGCATTTTTTAATAACTAGTGTTTCTAACATGTTTAGTAATGTTGAAATTTGCTGTTGTTTATTTGCTAAGTCATGTCCAAATCTTTTGCAACCCTTGGACTGTAGCCCACCAGGCTCCTCTCTCCATGGGATTTCCCAGGCAAGAATCCTGGACTGGGTTGCTATTTCCTTCTCTAGGGGATCTTCCCCACCCAGGAATCAAACTAGCATCTTCTGGGTTGCAGGCAGATTCTTTATCACTAAGCCACCAGTGAAGTCCAATATTGAAATACTATCCAATATAGTATTTTTGTTTGTTTGTTTCAGGTGGAGGAGGCCTTGGAAGCTGTCAAAAATGCTACAAATGAGCAAGACCTTGCAAATCGCTTTAAAGAATTTGGAAAAGAGATGGTGAAACTTAACTATGTAGCTGCAAGAAGACAACAGGTAGGAAAAATTTTGGAAATCTAGGGGAGAAAAGACCCTGATGCTGAGAAAGACTGAGGGCAGGAGAAGAAGGGGGCGACAGAGGATCAGATGGCTGGATGGCATCACTGACTCAATGGATGTGAGTTTGAGCAATCTCCAGGAGACAGTGAAGGACAGGGATGCCCAGCGTGCTGCAGTTCATGGGGCTGAAAAAGTTGGACATAAATGAGCAACTGAACAACAACAAGGGGAGAAAGCGAGTGAGTTTACATAATCTTGGAGTTTGTATACCTGGACAATGCATCATCGACTGTATCAACTGCTTGTCAGATCATCAAATACCCTAGGACCTGTGATCACAAAGGCAGTTTCCTACTTGGATCAGTTCTGGTCCCATTGTACACTGCTGGTACTCCCAGTCCCCTGGGTATTTACAGTTAATCCAGTTAATCAGAGGCCACCTGCCTTACTGGTGGGGACCACCCTGCCAACCCCACCAGGCTCTAACCTTTCTCTTTTTTTTGACCTTTATTTACTTATTTTTTAATGTAAGAAATTACATTAAAAATTGTAATTTGACACTGCCCCATTTTTGCAGCATATCTAGAATAATGTGTGAATTTTTGCTGTACAGCAGTTATTGAGTTATACATATAGATACAGTTTTTAAAAATATTCCTTTCCATTATGTTTTAATTCTGGATATTGTTTTAACTCTGGATATTGTTTTAACTCTGAATTATGTTTTAACTCTGGATATCCCAGTGCTAAACAGCAGGACCTATTGTTTATCCGTTCTGCATGTAAGAGTTTGCATCTGCTGACCCCAAACTCCCAATCCATCCCTCCCGATACCTCTCCCCCTTCACACCACAGGTCTGGTCTCTATGTCTGACCTGATTGAAATAAAAAATGTCAGACTGGTGTGGCACAGTGACCACTCGCTGGGCACTTTGCCTTCAGTTTTTACCTCCCCACCCTGTGGACAGCACCTTACATATACAACACCCCTCTCCCAAGTATGCAGCATGCAGAGTAAAACTTTTATGAAAGAGATTAAGAAAACATGAGGGAAAATAGAGGAAAGGCAGAGAGAGAGAGGGAGAGAGTGGAGCGGAAGAGGGAAGGAGAACACAGGTATTGAGTCATGTTGATGAAGGTGTTTGGCCTGGGTTTTCTCTGCTCCCCATTGTCCTAGGATGGCAGCTCCATTGGCCAGCTCTTTGTTCTGTAGGGGCCATTAGAATTGTGTGTTCTGAAGAGTGGATCTTTTTCTTTATTCTTAGCAAATAGCATCTTTAAATATGGGGAGATTTGTTAAAATCCTCTTCATCTGTCCTCTTGACTGCTCCCAGGATTTCTGGCAACTTCCAGTGACTTTTTCTAATGTGCTCAATGACCAGCAGGAAATTTCTAGCCAACATTTTGAGTGTTCATCTGTACCAAACAGAAGTAATACCTGGGTTATAAATCTGACCAAGATCTTGTCCCTTTCCTTAAAGAGCTTCTAGTGCTTTGTGATGGGCACATGGGCATGATTTTGTTGTTCAGTTGCTCAGTTGTGTCTGACTCTTTGCAACCCCATGGACTACAACACGCCAGACTTCCCTGTCTTTCACTATTTCCCAGAGTTTGTATGATTTTAGTTCATGTGGTTATTTTCAGGTATTTTGTTATCAACAGAATCCTTTGTTCAGGTGGAATCTTGCTTGGTGGCCCACCATGGGTAGTGTGATTAGGAGTGAAGTCACTTTGAAGCAAAGGTTTAAGGCCCAGAAGCTATTTATTGAGCCTGACCAAAAAAAAAAAAAGTACATTGACAATAAAAAGGAAATTACATTATCTTAATTTCAGTGAACCTAGCAGGAGGCTGGGGCGAAAGGTGGGTGCCAGGACACTCAGAGTTTTGAGAGTGTTCTGATTTTATTGTAAGTAAGTAGCAAGTTGAACAGTTCGGAGTTTGGTATCAAAGTCTCAGATTTTCATTTTCATATTTTTCTAGATATGTTGCAAAAAAGGGGTAGTGTCAAAGAGGAGAGACTAGTTGTAGATGGGTGGGACTGAAATTGTCTAGATGAGTGACTTTTTGGAAAACCTTTGTCTAAAGTCCAGGCTCTTGTTCAACTCATCCAAAAGAATTTGGATGAAGAACACAAAAGTGCAAAGGAAAAATAAACACACATTCTGGGGCTGAGGAGCAAAGAGAACAAAGTAGCAGTTTATTCAGGGAAGAAGCAAAAGTTAAGGAAAGGCGTATGGGAGTCCTTTGGACCTGGTAATGCCCCACAGTGTTGTTGATCTGCCTTTTATCTTGTAGCTCTTTGAATGGGTAGAGGTCTTTTTGATTAAGGATTGAATATTCATTGAGGGAAGAGCTGATGTTTGTCCTGGATTGCACCAGTGTGCATCAGCTCCTGGTCCTGGCATTTTTCTCCTGAAGCCGTGCTACAGGTATTCTAAAAGCTGTTTTTCCCCTTAAATTTTCCCACATCAGGCACCACATGTGGAAGGTCCTACAAGGTCATCAGCAGCCTGTGCAATTATATTGTACCTGCTCCATGGTTTTCATGCTCAGAGTTTCTTGCTCAGATGCTGCAGAGTTTCGGTTTTAGTTGCCATTCCTTCATGCACTGTGGTCTCATTAAGAGAAAAAAAAAGAGTGACTTTGTCTTCTGCCTACTGCCTGCACTTGATGAGGCCGTCCTGGGGCCCTGCCCTGACCTTTCTGCCTCAGAGATGGTCTTCATTAGTGTAGCAGCAGTAAAGATGGAGAAAAGCCTAGGGAGTCCAAATTTACATTGAAAATAGAACACTCAGGACCTGCTGTGGAGGTGGCTATGGGAGGTTAGGGAGTGATGCGACCAGTTCTCATCTGAGGTTCTGTCTCAGCAAATATGTACATGCTGGTGAATTTACTGAGATTGATGAAGACTGGAAAGCAGCCAGTCTTCCAGTGGTATCAAGTGGTATCAAGATACATTGATTTTGAGATTTTTATAAGATAACCATGTAGAAATGTTAAATAGGAGAGAGATGAGGGGCGATCAAACCTCATCAAATCATCAGCATGTAACTGGTATTAAAATCCATGGGAATAATATGAGATATTCACCTCAGGATGCCCATATACATATGATTTATTTTTATCTCATTAACATCATTTTAACTAGTACCTATTTCAAACTCTTTCAAGAAAATTTAGAAAAGAAGGGAAAAAAAGGCACATAGCCATCTATCAGCCACAAAAACGTGGTACTTATATTTTGGTAGATTGCCTTTCAGTTGCTTATCTTCATATTTTAACATTTATATTCATGCTATACATATAAGCATTCATGTTGTAGTCTCCTTTTTATTTATATTACCCATTTTATTATTTTATGGAAACTTCTTTTAATATCCACACAAAGAGTCCAGGGACTTCCTTGGTGGCTAGATGGTAAATAATCTGCCTGCAATACAGGAGATATGGGTTCAATCCCTGGGTTCGGACGATCCTGTGGAGAAGGGAATGGCTACCTACTCCAGTATCCTTGCTTAGAGAAATCCCTAGACAGAGGAGCCTGGCGGGCTACAGTTCATGGGGTCACAAAGAATCAGACATGAATGAACAACTAACACTTTCACTTCACAACAAGTCCATCAAATGAGAACTTCAGTAGTTTACTTAACCAGTTCTTCATAACTCAGCCTTTACATTGTTTACAGTTTTCTTCAATGTGGTTAAAAATGTTTCTAAAAATATCTTTATGGAAAGAATTTCCTACCCTGTATTTCTCACTTTCATATTTAGATTTTCTTATTAGTATAGATATCCCAGAATGGAATATAAAATTTCTGGCCAGGTGTCCTGGAAGTTAATTAAGACCCTTGATAACTTCCAATGGCACTGCCTAGATTGTCCAGTGTAAAGGATTCCCTCACATACTGGTTCCCTATTTATCTTTGTTGAGCTTTAGGGCTAAAAATAAGTTATCTCAGTTTAGAAATTCCGTTGACTGGCATGGATCTATTAGTGCCTAAGCAGAAGGAGATAGACGGCTCAATTGTTTACTGCTTTTTTGAAATAAATTTATTTATTTCATTATTTTTAATTATTTGAGTGTCTGTTGCTGCTTGGGGGCTTTCTCTCGTTGTGAGCAGGGGCCACTCTTTGCTGCAGCTCACAGGCTTCTCACTCCGGTGACTTCTCCCGTTGCAGAGCACAGGCTCTAGGCCCATGGGCTTTGGCAGTTGCATCCCTGGGGCTCGTAGTTGCAGTGTGCAGCTCTGGGATACGTGGGCTTCAGTAGTTGTGGCACACAAGCTCAGAAGTAGTGGCACACGGGCTCAGTTGCCCCACATCATGTGGGATCTTCCTGGATGGGGGATCGAACTCATGGCCCCTGCATTCGCAGGCAGATTCCTTTCCACTGGGCCATCAGGGAAGTCTGGTTGTTTACTTCTTATTGTCAGTTTGTCTTACCAATCCTAAATATCAAATATAATGTGCTTGTCTCAGAATTATTTTGACCGAAAATAAGAAAGGATGCAATTTACTGTTTCCAGGTCATCCATCTTTCATGTACCAACTGAGCAAATAGGGATAGAACCCCAGTGGTTCAAATACCCTCTAATGATACATTTTGAAACTAGAGAAATTTTCTCCCAGAGGTGCTCAGCTGGCAGTCTTACATGGCTCTGAGAGAACAGTACTGCCTTTAATATTTCCAAAAATACTGTGAACATTTTCTTAACAATACTCTCTAAAGCTGAAAATAAAGAGTCTACCCAGTGATACTATTTTGACATCCAAAACTTAGAAAGCAAATCATCTGTGATCTATTTTTTTTATTATTTCCTCAACTCAAATGATAGATCTGCCATCAAAAGCAGTTTTTTATTTTATTTTTTTAAATTTTTTTTAAAGCGGTTTTTAAAAAAAAAACTGAACCCCATTCTGAAAATGATAATGAAGTGCCAGTGATGCAGTAAGCAAAATCAGACGAGTTTGATTTCCCATATTTGTAATTGTAATTGATTATGGAGGCAGGCACAGTGTCAGGAGATTGAAGTTTGGGTTTTCCATCTGCTGATAACTAACTGATCGACACAAGCCACTTACTTTGTTGGTGGCTCAGTTTTTCCATTCTTGCAGCACTATTTATTGGATACATTTTTATGAGCCAGACATTGTGCTATCGACTGAAGAACCACTGAACTAGAAAGCTAGGGCTCTTTGCTCTCATTAGACATACAGTTTAGGAGAAAGACATATGCTTATGTAAATGCAGTAAACCATGATGCATTTTAATGATTGGAGGGAGGAGGGCCTTATGGGAGCAGCTAGAAGGAGAGGTAACTTACAGAGTTGGATGGAGATTGGGTTTTCAGGAGATGGGCCCCATCAAGGGAAAGGATAGGCTGGAACAGGGAAGCTCAGATATTTCACATGGGAAGAGCAGTATGTACAAATTTTTGACAGCTAGAGAGAGGAGATTGTTTCTAAAACATATGTAGAAAAAATATTTCTTCTTCAGTTGTTTTCCTACATTGACATGTAATTCTTAAATTCATATTGCATTTTTAAAAAACTTTATTTACTGTTAATTGATGGATTAAATTACAATTTTGTGTTGGCTTATGCTGTTCAACAATGTGAATCATACATAATCATAATATAATCATATTACATATTATAATATAATTGTAATACTCTTTAAAGCTGAAAATAAAGAAACTAAAGAAAACTAAAGAAAAATAAAGAAACTTCCCAGTGGGTACTATTTTGACATCATATATATATATGCATATATATATATATACATATATATATATATCCTCTTCCTGTTAAGCCTCTCTCCCCTTCTCCCCATTCCACCCCTCTAGGTCATCACAGAGTGTCAGGCTGGGCACCCTTTGTTATTTAGTAACTTCCCACTATCTATTTAACACATGATAGTATATATATGTCAATACTACTCTCTCAGGTCATCCCACCCTTACCTTCCCCCGCTGTGTCCACAAGACCATTTTCAACTAAGTTCATCAGTAGCGTTTTTCTAAATTCCATATATATGCATTAATATAGAATACTTGTTTTTCTCTTCCTGATTTCCTTCAGCCTGTATAAGAGGCTCAAGTTTTATCCACCTCATTAAAACTGACTCAAATTTGTTCCTTTTAATGGCTGAGTAATATTCCATTGTATAAATCTACCACAATTTCTTTATCCATTCATCTGTCGATGGGCATCTAGGTTGCTTTCATGCCCTTGCTATTGTAAATAGTGCTGCAGTGAATGTTGGGGTATACATGTCTTTTAGAATTGCAGTTTTCTCAGGGTATATGCCCAGTAGTGGGATTGCTGGGTCATATGGAGTTTCCCAGGCATAAAATTGTTTTATGTTATCATTTTAGATTGGTAACTTAAATAATATATGTCATGAAATGAGCATCTCTACTTGGAATTCAGAGACTACAAGTATTTTATTTTATATTGTTGTTCACTTGCTAAGTCGTGACCAACCCTTTGTGACTCCATGGACTGCAGTACACTAGGCGTCCCTGTCCTTCACCATCTCCTGGAGTTTGCTCAAACTCATGTCTTACAGTTCTACTTTTTTACCTTTGCATTGATCAATACGAATTAGATTTAATGACCTACCAATACCACATACAATATAGTCATTACACAGCATCTTATAAACAAATAAAGCATTAACTGAATACAAATAAAATTGATGTGGTCCCAGAAGCCTGTGACTCTAAGCTGTTGCAGATACTTTGACGGCAAGCCTCACATCTGTGTTTCGCACACACAGGAGCTGAAAGACCCTCACTGTCGAGATGAGATGGCCGCCGCCCGAGGAGCTCTGAAGAAGAACGCCACCATGCTGTACACGGCCTCCCAAGCTTTCCTCCGCCACCCGGACGTGGCTGCCACCAGAGCTAACCGAGACTACGTGTTCAAACAAGTCCAGGAGGCCATTGCCGGCATCTCCAACGCTGCTCAAGCTACCTCTCCCACCGACGAAGCCAAAGGCCACACGGGCATCGGGGAGCTGGCCGCGGCTCTGAACGAGTTTGATGTAAGCATCTGGGTCATGTGTCCAGAGGGGGGTGTGCTTTCACCGAGAAAATGTATTAGGGATGAAGAATACCAAGATAGTATACATTGATTTACCTCTTTTGGAGGCTTCTGATAGTAAGATAAACTACATGATATGTCACTGTTACTAGGAATCTGACATCTTGGTAGAACCTAGTACTGGTCTTTGAAGGAACTGACAACTTTATTTAAGAACCTGATCGTATTCAAGCAGAAACCCTGAATACTGTAAATTTCCTCACTGTTATAGTAAGGACAGTTTATAATTTGCAAGTTTATCTTCATTATTAAGGGTTTCCCCTATAGTTCAGTGAGTAAAGAATCCGCCTGCAGTGCAGGAGACGTGCAGATTTGATCCCTGGGTCAGGTCAGGAAGATCCCCTGGGGGAAGAACCCAGCAGGCTACAGTCCAAAGGGTCCCAGAGAGTCAGACACGACTGAGCGACTAAGCACACAGCACTTCATTATTGAAGAGGCAAATGTCCTAGGCAGTGTAGGTGTACGATACCCATATGTTGTGTCTGAGTAAAGGATTGCTCTCAATTTCTTGATTTTTCAGTCCCTGGCGATCAGACTCATTGCCCTCTCATCCTATCCAGGATCCTGGTCTTCCTTGCATCAGCGCTGCCTCACCCCGCCCCAGGTGGCACCTCTGCTAGTCCCATGAATGACTCATATTCTGAACCTGCTGTTTCTAGGGGTTTGTCCCAGCGAGGGACTCAGTGGAAGGAGGGCTCAGTGAGCCTGGGTATATTCGAGGCAACAAAATAAGCTGGAAGGATGCCTGTCATCAACAGTCCAGGCTAACAGCTCTCACCACTTCCGGGTCAGGATATGGCCCATCTGTGAGAAGTTGGAATTCAGTTGAGTTCATCCCATGTTCAGTGAGAGCCTATATGTGTTGTGAGCTACAGACATTTATAAATAATTAGCATCTGCTTTTAAGAGTTATGTTTTCCTGTAGAGGAGAAAAAGGACAAAGAATGAACTAAGACTCTAAATGATAAAATACAATGTAATAGAAATTCACAGGAGAAAAATCAGTTACTTAACAGCTGTGGAAAAAAATGATGATTTTGCTCTTGGATGTGTAGACATGAATTTTTGGCCTGTTAGAAAAGAGGACCAGGAGGAAATGATTGTTAAAGGCATGGAAATGGATGATATAAAGGAGAGAGAATTATAACACTTAGTATACAGATAAGAACTTCCCTAGTGGCTCAGTAAAGAATCCTCCTGAAATGTAGGAGACCCAGGTTTGATCCCTGGGTATGGAAGATCCCCTGGAGAAGGGAAATGCTACCCATTCCAGTGTTCTTGCCTGGAGAATCCCATGGAGAGAGGAGTCTGCAGTCCATGGGGTGGCAAAGAGAAACGACTGGGTCACTGCACACGCACATATGCCCAGATAATTATTCCCTGTTTTCACAGGTGGCTCTCCTCTTTCCCTTATTTTTTTCAGTTAGTCAAAGAAATATATATACATACTGAACTCAGACTATATATTATTTCCAAAGTATTTTATAAGGATTAATTGTAATAAATTTCAAGTATTTACCAGAAATTGGGCCTTAATATGTAGTGTATTCACAAAGGTTTAGAAGACAACATAAAATTCATTAGAACTAATAAGACACTTCAATAAGTTTTTCAATTTTAAAATAAACGTATAGAAGTTACTGGATATCCATACTGTAAAAAAAAAAATGGAATAATGGAAAAGAGATCCTGTTTACAAAATGAACAGTAAAAACAATACTTTTATTTTACTTAATCTACAAAATAATTTTAAAAATTATTATTTTAATACTTAATTTTATTTATTTGTAGATGCTGGAAATAATCCTGATACAGATGTAGAGGACATAAGAGAGGAAACTGTATTACTCTACTAAGGGGTGAATGAGTGAGTGAAAGTCGCTTAGTTGTGTCCCACTCTGTGACCCCATGGATGGTAGCCTGCCAGGCTCCTCTGGCCATGAAGTTTTCCAGGCAAGAATACTGTAGGGGGTTGTCATTCCCTTCTCCAGGGGATCTTCCTGATCCAGGGGTAGAACCTAGGTATCCCACATTGCAGACAGATTCTTTACCATCAGAGCCTCTAGGTAACCCTTTACAAGGAATAAGTTTTCCTTTTTGGTAAAAGATGTCAGGGTCCTAGGTAGGAAAAACTATTGACCCTATCAATTTTTGTAAGATTCATACAGTCCCTATAAAAATTCTAAGAGGATGTCTTTTTGGAACTTGATAGAGTGATGATAAGGGTTTTTTGTTGGTTTGTTTTTCTGGAATAGGAATGGATGAACCCATGATTTAAGGAAACAAAAGTGAGTAGGTCATGCACTTAGATATTAACACATTATCATGCCATATTAAATTTTAGTAAGTACATTAGAATAAAAATGCCTCATCAGTTAAACAGAATAGAAAATAACAATGTCAAATACAAAATTATTTCATGAAATGATGCTTTCTTTTTCTGGAAATGGTGCTTTTTTAAAATTAAGAATAGGTAGATTATTTAGATTTTGATCAATTGCACTATAATCATAGTTTATTTTATAATAAAAAAGTAAACAGTAAAACCTAAGTGAGGACCTGGTAATAATGTAGCCGTACACATACAGAGGACTCTCTTGAAGGACAGTCCAGACTCTTCAGCTGCTGCTGCCTTCTTCCCAAGAGCGTGATGCCTGCAGCTTCCCGTTCTCTTTCTGTCTCTATGATTTTCATTAAAAGGAGCCTTTAGCCACAGAGAATTTAACAATTGAGGCATCACTGGGTATTATACCTTTAGACTCAGAAGATAAAAACTTAAGGGCATATGGGGAAAATCTATTAGTAAAATATGTTGGTGTACTTCCCACCTGTTCTAATAGAGTCATATCTTCTCATGCTGGACAAGTAAGGCTTTGGGAAATTAACACATGAATATAATAATTGAAGTTATTTTTTCAAATAAAAAATGGCATATTAACTAATTCACTAATTTTATTTGATTAGCTTTATATATCATTATACATATTAACTAGATGGTTTATTTTTACATTAAGTATATGTTAACTAAGTAATTGTATATTCTATTAGCTAAGTATATTAACGAAGTAATATTCCATTATTAAATGGGTATTTGTTCTCAAGCTATGTAAATTGCATAAAGCATTATTTAATGTCTAAAATTTTGTTTATCAGATGTTGACAAAAATCAACATGTGAAACTGTCTCAATTAGCGGTAGAATTAGATAGTAATTCCATTTGGTGTGGATCCCTAAAAACTGTTATTTAATAAATGCAATTAATTTTGGTACCTTCTCAAAAGTAATAATGCTACTACTGGTGTAATGCTACACCAGAAAATCTGGATAGCACTTAACGATATTTGAAATTTTCTAACTAAAAATAGTGTTCTGTTGCTCTTTACTTTGTAACAGAATTACACATTTCTATTCCATATTTACATAACGAATGCTTTAGCATTTTTTATTTCCCAGGCATATTGGCTTGAAATTGATTTAGAATTCACAGGCATCTGTCTTGAATTCTAAATGCTATTCTCAGATATTAAACAAATTGATATTACATTGGATGAGAAACTCACTCAGACTTCCTGTGATTTACTTTTCTGGTAACATTCCTGCCTGATGCTTGGTTTAATGCTTGCCAATGTAATAGGAATTTGAAAAAGTCAAACAACTTTGAGATTCTGAAGTAAAAGGAACCATATAAATAGAAAATACATTTTCAGTCATCTCCTGATGTTGAAGTCCATTTCATAATAATAGTCATCATTGTGTCAAACAGTTTTTCGAGAGGTAGGATGCAGAAGTGGCTTTGAGTTTCTTAGTTAATTAAGTACAAGGGAAAAATTAGTATTTTTGCCTTCATCTAAAATTATAGGATTGATTTTTACCTGGGTAATTGTAATTAGGACTCAATGATTGGTGATCGATTTTCTGGTGCTATTATCCTGTCTGCATGAATAGTTGCTGTAGTGATTTATTAAAAGACTGAAGTAAAACACCCGGTATTTTAACAACTTGAGACTGTTAAGACAGTCTTTAATGATACAACAGCAAAAAGTAAAATGATTGCTAATCAGTGGAAATATCAGCCTCTATTTAAAATGCGACAGTTTGAGGTAGTTAATTTTATCTAGTGGAACTATCTACTAGGGGATACTGGAAAGAGCTTAGAAAAATGTAATGACTGCTCAGAAGTAAATCATGTTATAATGTCAATGCTGACTACTAGAAAACTTTCAAGAATGAGAGAGAGGGGAATGAAAAGTTATTCCTACAGAATTTCCTTAAAAGAGAATGTACCATGTCTTATTTTTTTGAAACTTTCTTTTATAGATGAAGATGCTTTAGAAATATGGAATTTCACACCATTCATGACCTAGTCTTTATAATCAATAGCTATTTCTCTTTTATTTTCTTTTAAACCAGACAATTCCTCTAATCTTAATTTCAGATTCCTCTCATCTTAAATGTTCCAGTTATGTTTTTGCTCTTTCTTCTCCCATTTCACTTGGGAATTTGCTTGATTAGTCATTCTATTTTTCTTTCATGTTCAGTTTCTTCTTCTGCACTTGTTCAGTCCCCTCAGCCTGTAGAAAACTGTATTCTATAACCAAAAAAGAAAATGAAATAAAGTTGACTACCATAATTAACCATATTCCCATATTTCACTTTTTTTTTTTTTTTTGCTTGGTGTTAAGGAGTGGATTCTAATCTACTTGCCGCTTACTGGCTCTTACGTCTTCCAGCCTTGTCATCTGCTCCTATCTTTCCTCTATGTCCTCATATGTCCACTATGTCTGAGGGTCTCAGGGGACCCTGCATTCATGGAAGCTTTGTTTGCACTCTTATTTTCTAGTTCTTGACTTCTTCAACTTTGAAGGCAGGAAGGCATTGAATAGTATTAGATATATTTTCCTTTTCATTGTATTACTTCTCCCTGGCAAGATTTAAATCTGT